AGTATAGCTTGGAGAGACGGAAAAACGTCAAGACAGTTGTTGACCTTACCTAGCTTGGCTAGGCATAAGCTAACCTGCTCGTTGAGATGTGTGATATGCATATACAGACATCTAATTTGTGCAGATGTCTTCCAGCAGTGACCCCGATACACACTAACAGATGACACTGTGAACTGAATATGTATTATCTTGTTTCTAGAAATCTCCGAAAGTTCATCAGCCTCTAATCATGTGTAAACAATACGGACCTACACGCAGCCCAACTCTTTTGACCTATGGAACTAGAACACATAGTTTCTTGGAGCCCGTTCGGATAAGCGATACGCAGTTTGAATTTCGAACAACTCGCATGTCACTGAGAGCCATCTCAGTGCCACTTTCTCTCATGCAAGACAGAGAAATCGAAGGTGACAGGTCATCGGAAATGTTTCAGCATTCCAATCGGGAGGTCAATAAACTAACTAACTAACTCACAAACTGAATAACTCATGGATCTGAGTCCTCATTGATAAGTTAATATTCACTCAGCTGTTTAAATATTTTCACCCGAATGTTAATTACCGTGAAGAATGCCGTTTTCTGGGATGTGGCGCCGTGTAACTCTTGTGTGGATCGACGTTTCGGAGGAACGTATCGCCTCCATCTTTAGGGTAGAAGATCTATACGGCGCCACATCCCAGAAGAATGTTTCTTCATAGTTACAGCCGTGAAAACCTCAAAATATACATTGTCAGTTACCGTGTTCACAAACGCTCGGCACTGGATCATACCACTGGCCATTTCAATTCATTCTACAGCCTCCCATCTCAGCCTCCATCTCCCAAGTGGTGTATTCCATTCAGGTTTTCCGATTGATTTTTTTACACGTTTTCTTGTCTTTTCAAAAGGCGCTACATATTTCACACATCTTCATTCATTCACCAATGGCTCTGCATCCCTTTCGTTGGGCCCTGGCCTCTTCTTCAGTTCCGTATTCGTTTCTACATAGACAGTAGGACTCCTTGGACGGGGGATCAGCCCGTCGCAAGACCGCTACCTACTCACAAGACAACACAGACACAGAATAAACACACACAGACATCCATCCCTCGGTGAGATTCGAACCTACGGTTCCAGTGTTTGAGCGGGTAGGATAGTTTATGACTTAGACCTCGCGGCCACCGTGATCGACAATTCTACTCCTCTGATACTCCTTATTTTGAAGACCGTAATAATTCTTGGTGAAGATAACTAATTATGAAGCTCCTTATGCAACTTTCTCCATTTTCCTGTCATTTCCTTCTCCCACTTAGGACCGATTAGCCACCCGTTTCCAAAACAGTCAATATATTCATACGTTAATCTCTTAGAGCCAGAACTGACGGCAGTTTTCGTTATTAGGTGTGTAGAAATCGGGGACACAATTATCTGCAATGTATTTAGCTAGTTGGTGCCGGTCACGGTAGCCGAGCGGTCTAAGGTGTGCACTGTCTTCGCTCCCTCGGAAGCCGGGATCGTGGGTTCGAATCCCACTCAGGGCATGGATGTTTGTGTGCGTTTTTCTGTGTTTGTGTACAGGTAGAGGCATTGCGAAGAGCTTATCACCCGCCCAAGGAGTCCTACCGAATGTGTAAGATCTATAAAAACCGAAGTGAACGGAGAAGTTCATGGAGGTAGGCCTAGGTCCACTGGGGCTGTAGTGCCAAGGTGAAAAAAAAATAGCTAGTTGGTAAGTTAGACAAACGTACTCTTCGCCAGATCAAGTGGAGGAGGATGAGATGGACAGGTCATGTAGCACGCACGGGGGCGAAGCGGAACAATATAGCATTTTGATGGGAAAACTAGACAGTAGGAGACCTCTAGGAAGAACTAGACATAGGTGGGAGAATAATATTACGATGGTTCTTTGAGAAATATTAAATGGGATGATTTGAATTGGATTGATCTAATTCAGGATAGGGACAAGTGTAAGGCTCTTGTGGACCCGGTAATCAACATTCGAGTTCCATATTTTTCCCCCCCNGATTCGAACCCACGATCCTGGTTTCCAAGCGAGCGAAGACAGTACATGCCTCAGACCGCTCGGCTACTGTGACCCGCTCGAGTTCCGTATAATATAAGGAAATTTTTGAGTAACTGAGCTACTGGTGGCTCCTCAAGCGGGACTCCGCTCCGTGAAATAAGTTAGTTAAAAGAATGCGCCTCTGACATCTGAGAGATTTTTTTTATGTTATCATTCCTTGGAATTTTACGAAGCAGTAAGAAACCATGAGGACATTCCTTACTGAAATAACTGTATTATATGGATTGTTCTTTAATATACACGTCTCCACACTCTTACTACTTATCTGGTGACATAAATATCTTTAAAGACCGAATTTGAATATTTTCGCCCCGCATCTTCATCACATTCTTACACAAAGATCCGAATACAAAGACCGTTGTTCATGTTCTTCGTGATAAGCATGTAAACAATATTCAGTTTAAAAGTACGTGGTATGTTAGGTATGCGCCACTTTCATGCTGTCATGTTACGGTCAATTCTCCTTCGTGACCGATGAGCAGAGGTTACAAAACCTAAACGCAGTGTGGTATTTACACTGGTTCGAAGTAACGAGGGCCTTACTTCGCGTCCTACTCAGATACTATCAAACTGTTGCTATTCGTGATTTTCACTAATATTCTCAGGCGAGTGTAGAATATTTTAAATAAACAAGCCCACAATGCTTTGCTCCAAACTGTTGAGTTCAAGATTTCATTATTATAAAACTTGTTCAGTCGATATAGTGTGGTTAAACAACATATGAGATTAGCTTTGTAAAAGCATTTATTGTACAGTAAATACTAATGTGACGGTCACGGTAGCCGAGCGGTCTAAGGCAGGAACTGTCTTCGCTCGCTCTCTTGGAAACCGTGATAATGGGTTCGAATCCCACACAAGGCATGGATGTTTGGTGTGTGTAACCCTACGGGCCTTCACGGCCTGTTACAGGGATAGCTTTACTTTTTTACTTTATGTGCTTATTCTGTGTTTGTGTTGTCCTGTGTTTAGGTAGAGGCCTTGCGACGAGCTGATCACTCGTCCAAGGAGTCCTACCGTCTACAAAATGGTCATGAAACTGAGAAATCAGCCCTATGTTTCAAAGTGAGAGCAAGATGAGAGAAAAAATAATTAATAATATAAAACTCTTTGAAATTTCAAACGAAAAACATGACAATTCTCATTTACAGATATGGTTTCCGCTGTCAGCCCTTCTGCTAATCCGCTCTTAAACAAAGTGGCCCTTGAGGGAAACCATAATGTCACGAATTCGCTGAATATATGGTGTAAACTTGAAAAGTTCTAAAAAGGCAGCATTGTAGAATAAGCAATATTTCTACCTAAGGATATCTTCTTTTCAGAAAAGTGCAAGACATCAATACCGACTGAAGTACAAATACCTCTCCTTGCTCTATATTGCTATCTTCTGGTCCTGTCCATAACTCTTGAAAGCCTTAACCACTTTTATATTCATACGTTTCATGAGTTTTGTTGATTTGCTCGTCTGTAAGAAAAATCTCCTTACGACAACCTACGTTTAACAAATTGGGATACACAGCGATAAGCTGCGGGCTGGACTGCCGCGGTTCGATTCCCGGCTGGGCAAGAGATTTTTCTATACTCCACAGCGTCAGTACAGCTCTGGGGCACACGGAGCCTCCTACATATTGGGCACGAGAGTTTCTTTCCCCTAGAAGTAAAGTGGCCGTGACGTAAAAGTAACCACTCACCTCCACTTAGTGCTGAGTTCAATCAAGGTGAAGTTATACTTTCACTCCCCCATGTGTCTTCATGGTGTAATGCTTAGTTAATTAACCACAGGGGCAAACAAATTCTTTGTGATGTTGGCTACGCCTTCTGAAGATAGTCAGTGGTCGAAACACGTAAAGGCATGAAGAAAGCAGTCTTCTGGGATTTGGCACCGTGTATATGTGGTTAACACCACATATACACGGTGCCAAATCCCAGAAGACTGCTTTCTTCATAGTCACCGCCGTGAAAGCCTCAAATCTTACACGTAAAGGCATACTTTACACTCCTAGCTTAAATTTGTTACCCTTGATAGACCTTCAGAAACACTGGGTTTCTTGGACTTTGTCCATCGTTTGGCATTGTAAAAACTATAGGAGATAACCTCAACCACTAGTCCAGTGATTGAGGTTAGCTCTTTCTAAGGGACCTAACAGAGTAAATGTCTCGCCCTTCACCTGAGGATGGAAACAGATCCAGTTTCCGAAACATTTTGTTATCTAGGTAGTTACTAGAATACCGGTCGATGGACAAAGTCTAAAAGCCAATAATTCTGAAAGTCATACACCATCGTCAGAACCCCTTAGAATCTACATGATAGACCGTGTTACTCATTCATGTAAGAACTGAGGTTTGCTGGGGCCGTTTGAACAGGTGACTCAGAAGGCTCCATCTCTGGCTCGCACTGGATTCCACTGTGGACTGAATCTAACTAGTGAACAATGAAGTGATGTGCATGGTCATTTAAACTGGATTTTGGGGCAGTCCACCTGTTGTGCGTGTCGGCTGACTCGGGGGGGCACCAAATTGCTTGGTCATGCTTGTGAGCAAGGAATCCCGTGCGGGGGGTAGTGGGAAAGACAGGCAGCAGCGGACGGGCCCATAGCCCGAATTCACTCACGCACACACACATGCATTACAAGCCGGAAAGTCGAGGGTTCAGTTCCCGATGAGGTCACTGGATTTTTCAATTGACGTAATCCTTCTAGCCGCACTGTGGCCCTGGATCGACTCAGCCTCTAACAGAAATGAGTACCAGGAATCTCCTGAGGGGGGGGGGGAGTAAAGGGCGGCCCAGCCGGTTCGTACGTAAACCAACATTTGTATAGACGCAGGGAGCAAAACGCTAAATTCTCAATAAAATCAGAATGTCTAGAATATTGTTGCTGCACTAACCTACACGATTAAGAACTTACTAACAGAATTTTGTCAGAGTGTATCATGAACTCACGAGTTTGTGTGTCTCCAGTTGTGAGGTTTTCCTCAGCTGCACCAGTTTCATTTCGTGTTCCTCGTGCTGCGATCTGAGATCGTATGCTTTCTGTCGGTCCGCTTCTGTCACCACCTGAAGACAGGCAGATCACCAGAATGTAGTTCATAGGAAACACCACTCGACAGTACAGCAAACAAACCGAATAGTAAATAAAATCGCAGCAAGTCTGGAGGAAAAATCCCTCTGCACAGCGACATTTCTTGACCTAACCCAAGCATTTGATAAAGTATGGCACTCCGGTCTACTATATAAAATCAAAAAGGTTTTTCCTACCCCATATTTCCTATTATTAAAATCTTACATTACAGAAAGACACTTTCAAGTCAAATACAATACAACATACTCAAACAATTACTCAATGAATGCCGGCGTACCACAGGGAAGTGTGCTGGGACCATTACTCTATCTAATTTACACATCAGACCTGCCCACCACAGACAAAACAATCATAGCAGCTTTTGCCGACGACACGGCCATACTATCAACAAGCAGAGATCCTCAACTAGCATCACAATACTTACAAAACCACTTAGATCTCTTTGAACAATGGGCCACCACATGGAAAATCACAATCAATCAGGCAAAATCTGTTCAGACAACATTCACCACCAGGAAAACAACATGCCCACAAGTCTCCATCCAGAACACACCAATTCCTGTGCAATCCGGGGTAAAATACTTTGGACTTCACTTGGACCAAAAATTAACATGGCAGAAACATATTAAAACCAAACGTCAACAAATGAACATGAAACTCCGTGAAATGTCATGGCTCATGAACCGTAAATCAAAATTATCCTTAAAGAACAAACTGATACTGTACAAATGATTAATTAAACCTACATGGACATATGGAGTTCAACTGTGGGGCTGTGCAAAGCCATCAAATACACAAATCATCCAAAGGCTACAGTCCAGAGTTCTAAGAACAATCACCAACGCACCCTGGTACGTCTCCAACCGGACGCTCCACAACGACCTGCAAGTCCCATATGTAACAGACGAGATACGAAGATCAGCTCTACTCTACAAACAACTACAAGGACATGACAACAGATTAATTGAAGAAATAAGAAACCCTCCCAACGTTGTACGGAGACTGAAGAGACAGTGGCCATCCGACTTTCCGAACAGACAAAATTAGGTTAAGCAATAAATTCTAGCATCAATTGTGTTTAAGAGCATCGACGCTGGTTAATTCTCTACTCACGTTCCTACTTTTAACCAATTTACTTATTGCTCCTTACTGTAGTGAGTAGATTGCAAATTCGCAGAGAAATAAAAAAAAAATTGCAGACAAACGTAAGGATTGAAAAAAATTTGCAGACAAAAGTAAGGATGGAAATAAGAGTGCACTACCAGTAGTAAGGAATTCCACGAAGCATAGACCTTTTTTGATATGCTGATAGTTACTGATAGACAGTTAAGGTTTTCCTTCCTTTTATATAACCAGGAGGTTCATTGCCATGTTCAGAACCAGCCGCTGTGCCAATTTAATCCTAACCTTTGCTTTAAGAACCTGTTTAACATTATCCTGGCGTCTACACCTAGGGATCCCCGAGCGGATACTAGAGGTACTGTTCTGTTTATTTCTTTTAAAAAATATTATGGTATTGTGCCATCGTCCGAAAGCTTCCCACATATCTCTGAGCATCGCGAGTCAGAGTGTTACGCCCGAGCAGCCGAACGATTTGCGTGAAATTCTCGCACGATCGCGCTGTATCATTAGTCCCTTTTCTGAGAGCCTTTGTGGAGCGTCTTAGCGAACCATCGATTCGTCGTGTGGCTGTATGGCAGCAGCTCCTATTAAATCAATGATTCGACAAGACTAGCCACGTGACGTGCCACAAACACTCGTGAAAAATGAGTCTTGGAGTGATCAAATCGGGGAAGATGAGGTGTACGGGATATGCAACGAAAATGGTAACATAAGAAATGTATAGAACATTTTGGTGGGGAAACAATAAACGAAGAGATCACTTGGGATCACTCATGATTGCCCTAGGGCGTTGAGGCGCTGTTGAGCTGTTGATACGCTCTGATGACGGCTGCGGATGGTGACGGAGGGCAGGAAGGGAGACCTCCGCAGTCAGACATCGACTTTGCTGCTTCTCCACATAGAACTCGTCTTTGGGCTAAGGGCCATCATATATTGGCTGACTTATACTATACCTGCAGTCTCTCTTCCAACTGCTTGTTCTGCAAGCGGAGTTCTGTGACCTCCTGCTGAAGCTTCTGAATGGCTCCACTGCTGGCGCCAGTTTGCTGGGCGCCAGCGGCGTCACGACCAGCACGTACGGCGTCTCGAAGTTGAAGCTTTAACGACTCTTCTCGTGCTTGAGCTTCTTTGAGTGCTTGACGCATTTCGGCGTCTTTAGTCTTGAGCTCATGCAACATTCCGCTGTTTAGCGTCTTCGTAATGGCGTCCTTCTGGCGCTGAAGGGCATTCTCGTGGTCACGCTCTAGCCTAAAAACACAGAGGTAAAGCAGGTCAGTTTATTTCTAACCATGGACTGATAGCTGCATGTACTTCATAGCGTGAAATAGCAGGACTCCTCCGGGTCACGAATTCGGAAGGAAACAGACCTGATTTATATGAAAAATGCCTCCTGAACAAGAATTTTTTCTGGAAGGAATGATAATATTCAAGAAATATATAAATCTCACTTTTCTGTAGGTTGCTTCGACCAAGATTCGAGCTAATAACTTCCGAATACAAAGTATGAGTGATAATGTGGTACAGTAGGCCAGAAGTGGCCGCAGTACAAGGGACTTAGTCCCACCCCACTAGCTTAAAAAAGATGAGCGATAATTATTGTATCGTGACCTCCCCTCCCTCCCTCCCACCCTCCCTCCC